ACTTCAATTATAGGCAAATAGCTTATACCTTGGCTGAGAAATCTTCAGCTTGCATCAGGCTTCATGACTGGGCTTCGGGCAAGTTCGACTTGTTTTGGCGCATTTGGGCTCCCTCAAATACTTAAGCCCAATGTTTAAATATTAACCCAAACACGCCCACCCTTCACTTTTGAGTTGTCTGACATACCATACTTCCAGAACAAAAAGAAATTCTAATCAATTGCAATTTCCTACCAACATCCGTGTCTTGTAATTTCCTACCAACATATGTGTACTATTATTATGAAAATATACGTAAGTAATTAAGTAAGATAAACATTATACACACATGACGAAATGTCTTTTCATAGTGAATAGATAATTTCTATGTAACGAGCTAAGTATTTTACATAAAACAATTAATTTTCTCAAAAGAAAGTAAAACAGACAGAAAGGAAACCCTAAAAAGAAATAATTTTAGAAAAAAAGAAGAGAGAGAATTCTCACATATTTTTTTAGCTTCTACACCCTTTTTTATTTTTGATTATTGCATTGAGTAAATCAAACACAAACAACGAATATGATTAAACAAAAATGTGTGAAGCAAACAATGTATGTATTTATCATTTCTCAAAATGAAATGGCAACAACGAAAAACAAAATGCAATGCAAGTTTTGGTGCCCCAAAAAGCCTTAACCGATAATTAATGGTATAAAAATGCTAACCACCTCGCCACTTAATACTATTGTGAAATCCCGTTCCTGGATTTCACTATTGTAATCTACATATTTTGTATTTGCGGGATTTTATAGTATTTTCGTGAAGTTAAATTAATTTTAGATTTTAATTACTTAATTACAAAGTTTGAACTTTTGAAATCAGTTATTAAATCCGTAGACCTTCGAGGGTCACTTTTACTGTTCCTTAATTGGGCTTGACCCCACGAGTGTTTAGGCAAAGGTTGTATGTGAATCGGGATAAGAAAGGAACATTATGAACGTTTTAGAAGTTTCTTTACGGAAAAAAAAAAAATCGGAAGCTGCCTGATGACAGCGAGGAAGAGGGGAAGGAAAGTTTTAAGAAGGAGGAAAAGAGGGGCTCGGCGAATGGGGAGAGGAGAGGAATGAGGGTGACTAATTAGGAAGGAGAATAGGGAAGGAAATGAGGGAGTGGATATGCACCGGATCATGAATACCTTACCCATTTTTGGTAACCCGACTTGGAAGAACAGCGGAACCCGTTGGGTTCCTGGTCAAATTCCTGCGATTTTCCTACGAGTTTCATCGAGCCACCACATGGGAACTCTTCACCGGCCTTCACTCTCCATTTTTCACCCAAGATCGACAGGGTTTTGCCCCGTACGACGAAGAACAGAGCCGTGGGTTCCGGGGACACCAGATGGCAATCCGCCACTCTGACGACCTCACCCTAGATTACCACCACAAATAGACTCCTTCCATTCCTAAAAACAAAGCCCGAGAAGTGGTGGAGGCGTCGGAGCGAGTATGGAGGTTGAATCGAAGCACACCATTTTCTACAATTCTGACGGGTTTGAGGGACATTGGGGCCTTTCCCGAACAAATTGGACTTGGCCACATGTATAAAACTTGCTCTACTTATTGAGATCTTCATTTCTGTAAATTTTGGTAATAGTTGGTTTTTCCAGCGAACCGGGCCGGCCGGCTGCCACGTGCGGTGACGCGTGTGGCGACGCAAGGTCAGTGGACCGATGCTGTCTTTTTAAGTTGAATTCAATTTTCTAATTTCAAAATTGATAACCGTTTGATATAGTTTGATAGTTTGAACCTAGTATGGTGAAGTACGTTACTTGATCATTTTATGATTTGACTATCCGACCGTTGGATCGTCATCAAAATTTAGTACGTTATAGTACGTAATATTTGAGGATATTAGAAACTGATGGATTAGAAATCCGACGTACGGATCTTCCCAAATTGGATTTGTAAGTTCGTAAAATAAAATGTCGACCGCCACTAGAATTGGTGATTGGCGGAGATTCGACCGTTGGATCGCGATGAAATTTTAGTATGTTGTTTTGGGAACATAATGTGAACTTCAAAAAGTTATGGATCAGAAATCCTAAGTGCGGATCTTCCGGATCGAATTATGTAGAATTGTGGACCCTACCTTTGATCGAGAGCTGACTTTTGGTCAACATGTCTCGAAACGTTCTAAATACTAAAATTAGTACTATGGGAGACTAAGTGAAGTCTAGTGGCCTACATTGGTTAGAGAGTGGCTTGAATATATGTGATATGGTTATTACCTTAATTTCTTATATTAATATCATTTGTGAATATGACTTGGTATTATAAATGTGATTTCTATTGAAATGTGATTTTTGTATATTTAGCCTAGACTTATGTTTATTAATCATGATTTGGCTTGTCTACTATTGATGATTGGGTTATATATGTGTTTAATTTTCTTTTTAGTGAGGTGAATGTTAAGTAGGATAAATGTTATGACCATGTGATCTTAGAATCCTATTAGAAGTATTATGTAGAACTTTTATGCCTATATGACAAGATAATTAGTAGTAATGAGAAGTTGATAGAGTGATTCTGCTTGGTATATCCGCGATGGGGGACCATACACATTCTAGGAGTGATCATGCTTAGTATATCAACGATGGGTGATCACTACCTAGAGCTACAGAATACAGTCCTGCTTGGTATATTCGCGATGGATGATCACTGCCTATGTTAATAGATTATGCATATGGTTCTGCTTGGTATATCCGCGATGGGGGACCATATGTATTCAGGGATGATCATGCTTGGTATATTCGCGATGGGTGATCACTACATGTATGATGAGATATTGCTTATGGTTCTGCTTGGTATATCCGCGATGGGGGACCATACACACTTTAGAGATGATGATGATTAGTTGTACTTAGTACATTTCGATAGGCGATCATAATTTAGTTTAGATTCTGTTGAGTGGCCGTAAATCATATCTTGGGTTGGATTCCGTTGAGTGGTCCGAAATCCCTACTCTTGCTCATTTCCCTAAGTTAGACTATAACCCTAGATCGAGTGAATGAGAATTACCCACAATAGACCTTTGAATGTAAATTTGAATTATCGAGTTATTACTTGGAATCCAGGCAGGGAATTATGTAGAATTCCTTTATTAAATTTCGTGCACTGATATGTGATCTAGTTGACTGATTAACGTAATTAAATGTTAATATCGTGTCTCTTTGATTCGTGGAATGGGTTACTTGAGGTGTTTGTGGAATGATGTTGAATATGATTGTTATTAATACGATTAGATCAGTGATCATGCGATTAGAGAATACTATTGTGCTTTGTTGATTCTTTGATATGTTACATGCTATGAATTGCAATTTTACGCTGAAACATAATGGTTTATATCATGGAAGAAATAGAAACCTTGATTGTTATGTGGATTCATTATGTAGCTTGAATTGAATAATTCATGCTTGTGAAGTCCATATGTTTAATTGAGGAATGTTATGCCTTTCGGCCTGAACGGATTGTGATATATGTCGAGTTGTAGCGAAGGAAGAACTATGAATGGCTTAATCCCTGTTGAGGGTACGTAGGCAGTCTAAGAAGGAGGTTAGATGCAGCCATAAAGTATACGAAAATTACTACGCAATTTGGACCTTGAGTGGTGCTTTATTCATATCCCGAAGGCGGGGTATGTTAAATATACGAGTATTTGGTGACATTGCGTGTCGATTCGGGACGTATGTCGGGATCGGAGCGTGACAATATGGTCTAGTAGTATTTTTCTTCACTTGTAAGTAAGAGGTCTTAGGTTCAATTTTCGCAAAAGGCAAAGTTGAACCACATTATTATGGTTCAACTCCTTCACCCCCTTAGTGTAGATACTATTATTTGTTTAGAAAAAAAAATATACTCAACACCTTAAGTAAAAGAGTAGTCCTACACTTACAATCTAGTTGTACTATCACTTGTACCATCTCTCTAATAACATTTTTGTAGATAAAATTCATCTTGTAAAGATTTCATCCATTTTGGTGGTCAACAAAAGGGGCTTAACTTCTTGGTGATAGATTAATTAACACTAAGCCAGAAAGATAAACCGTAAAACAAATTGTGTGCAAATTTATCCAAAGGAAGCCTCTCCTCTGGAAAGAGATCCTCTTCGAATCTCTTCCACAAAATCCTTCCAATTATTTAATTTGAGCCCTTGAAATTATGCATAAATAAAGGATAAATAAAGCTCCAAAACACTTTACATTACGTTTGGATGATGGAAATAAACTTCGAATTTGAATTAAAATCAGAATTTATAATTGACATGCACCAATTCCCTTGTTTGGATTCATAAACATAGAAATTTAGAATTTCCGCGTGGAAAAACAACTTGGAATTTGGGACCTCCAATTCCCAAGTTTAAATTCCATGTAAATAGGTGTCATTTCCCAATTTCTATGATTGAGAGTTTAAAAATAACAAATTCCGAATTCAATTCCATTATTCTTTTAGGTTAACCAAACAAGAAAATTCACAAATTCTAGAAAATAAAATCCCGTCATTTCAATTTCCGCCATTTTAAAATTTCATAGTAATCTTAAATTGCTTCATCCAAACATAGTGTTAGGGCTTCCGCTAATATGCACCGTAATTCATGCCCTTAATTAATCACATAAATCACGAACCAATTTAATTGCATGATCGAAGATTACGAAAACCCTAAACCCAATTACAAGAAGAAAAATGCATTTGGCAAGGCTACAAGCTTACTAAGTTTGATCAAACTTAGTGTCAATAACTATAATTCGATCACAAATCTAAACGATCGAGATCAACAATGCTTTATTTTTTCTAAAACAAGAACCATAAATTGGGTTGGTCTAAACAGTTTTTTTTTTAAATTATTATTATTTAGGAATGGAAAAGTGCTCGAAACTATTACAATATTTAAGGGATGGGAGTTTCAAATATAGAAATTTAACACCCTATTTATTTTCATTAAGATATTGGATCACATGCATGCGTTAGATTTAAACTATTGGCATCTAATAATATTCATACAAAATCTATAAATGAATTCAACATCACTATCTCAAGATGTAAATCAATCATTCCTAACAATTATCATTGAACTCGTAAGAGTCTACAATATCTACATCACTCATCATAAAAATTTAAAAATAAAAAAAATAAAAAAAAAATCTTTGAAAAAACCAAATTTTACAAAGTTTGGTTTAGTAAAGAATCAAACCGTGGATCTCTAAAAACGCTAGCAATGCATCCGCTCCCGCCATCAATCACCTTCAGCAGCGCAACTGCCTTGCTCTTCGCTTTTATGCCGCCATTCTCCGCTACGTCAGCAACCCCATCCACCACTCCCATCCCCTCCTCCCTCACCTCCCTCAGCCCCCAATCTCCGCCGCACGTGGCCAAATTGAGCAGCGCCCCCACCGCGTTCTCCTTGCTCCTCAAGCTCGATCCGGTCGAGAGATCCAGCAAATCCGCCAAAACCCTTATCCCGGAAACCCTCTGAAACGCCTCCTCGCTCTCCTCGCACCCCGCCACCTGCGAGATCACCGCCGTGGCGTCCTCCACGATCCCCACCCGCCCGTCCTTCACTACCAATGTAAAAAGCGCGGGAACCGCCCCGAGCTCCACCAAGGCGATGCGGTTGGGCGCGTAGAGAGCGATCCCGAACAGCGCCTTCAGCGAGTCCTTCACAGACCGCGGCGGCGAGTTAGGGCACTTGACGATGTCGATGAGGGAGTAGACGATGTCGCGCTTGGAGCCGATGATGGGGCGGTAGTCGTCAACGACGAGGAGGCTGTGAAGGGTGGCGGCGGAAGACTGGACAGCGGAGGGGGAGGAGGAAGGGGAGCCGTGTTGGCGGAGAGAGTGGGAGAGAGAATCGAGGAGGCCTTGTGTGGAGATGAGGGAGTCGCGGCAGGAGATGGAGAGGTTTAGGAGGGTGGCGGCGGCGTCGTCTTGGAGGTAAGGGGAGGAGTCGAAGAGGGTTTCGGACAAGTAAGGGATGGCGCCAGATTCGGCAACGAAGGGACGGCTGTCCGGTTCGAGCTTGGTGATGAGGCGAAGCTCTTTGAGGGCGTCGGCTCGGGTTTGGGAGGAGACAGAGCTGAGCTTGGAGACCAGGGACGGAACCGTATCGAGCTTCACTTCCATGTTTGCGATGTCTGTGTCTGATTGTGTTTGGAGTTGGAATTTCCGGTTTTGGGTTTGTTGGGATGATCGCAAGAGGAAAGGGATACGATTTTAATAGGAGAAAGGAGTATTAATGGTATTGGTGCCGGTGGTGGTGGGTTAGTTGTGTTTGAAAAGGAAGTGCCAGCGAGTTGAAAAGTTACAAAGTCGGAAATGATCAACTCTTTTGTGCATATATACTAATCTTCTTCACTATCCCCGCCAAATTTGCATGTCAATTAACAACGAGAACAATACTTGACTACTAAAAAATAGTAGGAACTCATACTTAAAGCTTTTAGTATTTTAATCACGGAGCTTTGTGCTTGACTCAGAACCGTTTATACTATGAATCACATTATAAATATCATCTCTGCAAAAAAAAAAAAAAAAAGAACTAAGGTCGTTTAGTCAATCTATTATAGCAAATACATAGAAGGTGTATATAATGATTTTACCAATACTGTTCATTTGTTTTTAAACGGTTTGATAATTAAACGACCTTAGTTTTAATTGACTTTTTACAAAAGCGATCTTTATAGGGTGATTTATAGTATGAACAGTTCTGATTATAAAATAGGAGGTTCTATAAATTGACAACAAACTATTTTGAATTTTTTTGAGTAGAAGTACCTACTTATCTTTGAGTAGCCAAGTATTTCTAACAACAAATAACGAAGCCGCGGATTGCCCCAACTTTCTCTTTCTAATCATGCAGTTCAAGCTCTCCACTCCTTCTCAATATACATAGTAAATTAGTGTAGATATTGCTTACAATAAATAAATAACTAAAAAAATAAAATAAAACAAGAAATTAATAAAAAGAGTAAATGATTAATAGGGTTTTTACTGTACAATAATAACTCTTATTTTGACGCAAATAATTAATGGAAGTTTTAACGAAAAGCCCATGATACTGTTCACTTTAACGGAAAAACCACATTTTTACACTAAAAAGTCAAACCTGGTACTATTTACTTTACTTTTTATTTTGTCCTTATCATTAAACTCAAAATTTTCAAACTCTTTTCATTAGTTTTCCTATAATTAATAGGATTAATTGCGAGAGAGAGACATGGTCACAAATTGTAAGTTTAGGAAGGATCAGGCCAACCTATATTTTCTAGATCCTTTAAAAATATATGTTCATTTTTTTTTATGACGATGATAATTTAATTTGGTCGATTGTTTGGAAGAAGACCTTAACTTGGTCGACAGTTGAAGAATTTAAGAGCTTGTTTGGATGTACTTTTAAAATGACTAAAAACGCTTTTGGTGAAAATGTTTTTGGAACCAATCATTAGTAAAAATGCAAATAAATTCTGGAAAATCACTTAAAGTGCTACCTAGAAAAAACACATAACTAGTGCTTCTTGCAGAAAGCACTTTAAGTGCTTTTGGAACCAAAAAATATTTTCTCTAAAAGCACTTTCAGTCATTTTAAAAGCACATCTAAACGAACCCTAAGTTGGTGGACCAATTAAAACTGTAACTCATGTAGAAATTAAGGGCTCGTTATTACAATTAAGCCAAATTTTTATTATAATCATTTTTTTCTGGGATTATTTGGATTAAAACCTCCATCTCTACCCAACAATTTTTTTGAGGAGATTATATTCAAACACCCCAAATTACTTCTCCCATACCTTTTTAATTTTTTAATATTTTTCTATCAAGTGTTAGTGGTGTGTAGAAAATATTAAAAAGTTAAAAGGTGTGGAATAAGTAATTTGAGGTGTGTGAATGCAATCTCTCTTTTTTTGTTCATCAGTTGTACTTATATTACATATAACATGTTATGTTCCTTACTTGAGGTAATAGTTTCAAACCCTCTTATCTTTTAATAATAGTAAAATTAGGGCAGAAGTGTCACTTAATAAAAATGGTTGACAAGAGTTGGTCCTGTAGTATTCAGTAACACATATAAAATATGAATTCATTTCATTTATGGATTAAATTGATAGTTTGACAAAATAATGGTGGATGTATACCTATATTTTGTATATAGTCTACAGAAATTGGAGAATTTACTTTGTTACTTTATTTTCCAAAAGGATGACTACCTAACTGCATGATATGATTCATGAAATGAAGAAAATAAATTTAATTGTGGTGGGGAAAGGGAATGGGGATGGTTGTTCGAGTTCACACGCATTAACTTCATAATTTTTGTAAAAGGAGAACGACTTATATGAATCAATTTTATTGTTGTTGTAATGTCCTGACTTATCGATTGAAATGTCAACGGCTGGCCAATTACCTGGAAAGCTGTTGGTTTGGTAGATAACTAGATATCAACCATCCGACGATCTGTGGTCTATAAATGAATTCTGAGAATATGTGTAATTACTGAAAACAAATTAAGAAAGAGAGAAATATAAATTAAGAGAGAAAGAAATATATTATTATTTAACCAAGTATTCGGTGTAGGTTGGCTCTTGATTGAATCGAATCAAACATATAATAATATATATAGAAAGAAGCAAGATATTAAATATCGATGATATCGGAAATATCGGTAGTCCAAAAACACGAAAATTTCGATGGAAATATTGGGATATTATCGATATTGATAAAAATTAAATAAAAACCACGGAAATTGTAAGGAAAACTTGGAATTTTTATTGAAACTTTGCAAGATGTTTATTTAGTCAATTATCTATTAGTTTATCACAAAAAATTGGAAGGAAATACATTGCATGATAGATATAACTGATTTAAGTTGATTATATAGCGAGCTAGCAAACATTGTAAGTGTAGAAAATATGTAATAATTAATGAAAGAAATTTAAACACACCATAATCATTTATGTATAATGAATTAGTACAATATTTTACACTTTATACATTGTATGGTAAGATACATGAGTGACTTAGCAAGGTCTAAAATATCGATGATATCGGAAATATCGGTAGTCCAAAAACACGGAAATTTCAATGGAAATATCGGGATATTATGGATATTTTAGACCATGGAAAGAAGGAAGCTTGAAGGTGTGGCACCAAGAGTTAATGCTATCTCAAGGATATATTATAAAGAATTTTAACGAAACGCTCTTGGTATTGTTTACTTTAACGAAAAACCATATTTTTACACTAAAAAGTCAATTCTGGTATTATTCACTTTACCCTTTATTTTGTACTTATCATTAAAATTCAAAATTTTCAAATAATTTTCATTAGTTTTTCTTATATTATATAAAAGAGGATAATGACTCTTATGAATCGAGGTTAACTGTCACGAAGATATTTTATTTTAATAAAAATAATATGTGTCATTTTTTTAGTACATTATATCATATTATTAAAAACGAGACGTCACCTAATATACATTTCATATAAGATGTTCTCATGATCGGAGGAAATATAAGACCTGTCAGTAGTTGTGACATGAGTCTTACATCAATCTTTGCTAATTGCTATTTATTTTATTATATGATTTTTTTATGTAATGCAACATATTTGAACGTTACGTTCACATGCTGCCCTACCAGATTTAGATAAGATGGAAATATTCCTGATGAGATATGAAGGACAAAGAAACAACATTACCCTCCATTAATTATTAGGAAAACTAATGAAAAGAGCTTGAAAACTTTTAGTTTTAACGAAAATAACAAAATAAATGATAAAATGAATAGTAACAAGATTGACTTTTTAGTATAAAAATGTGGATTTTCGTTAAAGTTCCCTTAATTATTTAGTTATTAATATAATATTTTTTTATCGATTAAAGGTATAAAAAAATATTGTTATACTTTTATGTGCAAAAAAAATTTATTATAATCAGCACTAAAGTAATTTTTCATAAAAATAATTTTGCTTTTTTTTTAAAGAAAACTAATGATAAGGGCTCCAAAACTTTGAATTTTAACCAAAAACTATATAGAAAGTTTATTTAATGATTAGGACAAAGCCCAACATTTAATTAGTTCAATCACCATGGCCCAACTGAAATAACTTAACGTGTGTCCAATTCTACCCCTGACTTTTACTCTGACAGTGTTTAATTTTTCCGTTTGTTATTTTTTTGTTAGTTTATTTGGGAAATAAACAGAGCAAAGTACCCACGCAAGCAATCGGAAACAACCCATATAAACGCACTGTCAAAATAGCATAAAACCCAAACCCCAAAAACAGTCAGTCAACTCCAGTCGCACCGCCGCCCTCAGCTCAGCCCACAAAACCCACAAAGCCACACAACCGAAAGACAATCTTTATTCACATTCAAATTTTTTAGGCTATGGCTCTGACTAAGTGAGGAGCTTCAGATACCCAGATGCAGAAGAAGAGGTGGGTAGCATTGGCTGCACTGAGGAAGGTGCTAACGTGCACCATATCTCAATAGCGCTAGTGGCTCTCTTCTCTGGGGTGTTTTATGCTTATTCTTGTCAGCTGGAATTGGAGACTTTGGGAGACTTCTCATATCTTCCTCTTTTCTATATAGCATGTGTATTGATGCATTGATGAACTTGTTTCTTATTTCGTCGGGTGCTTTGAGAGGTTCACTAAACCATTGTGTGTTCTTATTTCGTGTTTGAGAGTAGCTGACCGACTAAATCATATAGGGTTAATCGTATACCGTTGAAAATTTTGCAGGGAAATAAAATTGATGCAGGCTCTAAAGCTGTGCGTGTACTCTAAAGAGTAAAAAACAAGTTGAGAATGCAGAGGGTAGAGTATAGAGGGTTCTGGACCTCTGGTGGAACCGTGAAGGTTCCACAACCTTTTTCTTTTTTTTTTTTTTTTTTTTTTTGAGTTTTTTACTCTTTCCTTCAATGAGTATTTTACTTTTTTTTAAAAAAAAATAGTCAATGTTCAATTCTAGAAATATTATGTGTTCAGTTTAAAAAATAGTGATAGTACCAGTGTTCAATTTACGAAATAGTGATAATACCAGTGTTCAGTTTAAGAAATATTCAGTGCTCACTTTAAGAAATAGTAATAGTATTGTATTTAGTTCTAGAAATAGTATGTGATCAATTTACAAAATAGTGATAGTGCCAGTATTCAGTTTAAGAAATAGTCAATGTTCAATTCTATAAATAGTCTGTGTTCAATTCTAGAAATATTCAGTGCTCATTTTTTATCATGTGGTACTTTCATGCATTTTATTTATCCTCATAAAATAATACATTGTCTCCATGAAAGTTAATTTATCAATTGTGTC